AACATCTTCTCATCTTCACATCTCATCTTCACATCCTCTCATCTTCACATCTGCTCATCTTCACATCCTCTCATCTTCACATCCTCTCATCTTCACATCTGCTCATCTTCACACCTTCCCATCTTCACATCTGCTCATCTTCCCACCTTCCCATCTTCACATCTTCTCATCTTCACATCTGCTCATCTTCACATCTGCTCATCTTCACATCTGCTCATCTTCACATCTGCTCATCTTCACATCTTCTTATCTTCACATCTTCTCATCTTCACATCTGCTCATCTTCACATCTGCTCATCTTCACATCTGCTCATCTTCACATCTGCTCATCTTCACATCTTCTCTTCACATCTGCTCATCTTCACATCTGCTCATCTTCACATCTGCTCATCTTCACATCTGCTCATCTTCACACCTGCTCATCTTCACATCTGCTCATCTTCACATCTGCTCATCTTCACATCTGCTCATCTTCACACCTTCCCATCTTCTCATCTTCACATCTGCTCATCTTCACATCTGCTCATCTTCACATCTGCTCATGTTCACATCTGCTCATCTTCACATCTTCTTATCTTCACACCTGCTCACCTTCTCTCTCATGCCTTCTTTTTATCTTTCTCTCTTAAGGCCGAGGGTGGTGCCGGCGGCGAGTCACGAAACGTCAACCCTTTCGCACGAAATGAGGGTCGATCGGCAAAAACTGAGGAAAAATTGCGGACTTGTCCCGGAGCAACCCTTTCGCACGAAATGAGGGTCGATCGGCAAAAACTGAGGTAAAATTGCGATTTTACTTGTGCTAAAGCAACCCTTTCGCACGAAATGAGGGTCGATCGGCAAAAACTGAGGTAAAATTGCGATTTTACTTGTGCTAAAGCAACCCTTTCGCACGAAATGAGGGTCGATCGGCAAAAACTGAGGTAAAATTGCGATTTTACTTGTGCTAAAGCAACCCTTTCGCACGAAATGAGTCGAAATGAGGGTCGATCGGCAAAAACTGAGGTAAAAGTGCGATTTTACTTGTGCCGGAGCAACCCTTTCGCACGAAATGAGGGTCGATCGGCAAAAACTGCGGTAAAAGTGCGATTTTACTTGTGCCGGAGCAACCCTTTCGCACGAAATGAGGGTCGATCGGCAAAAACTGAGGAAAAATTGCGATTTGACTTGTGCTACGGCAACCCTTTCGCACGAAATGAGGGTCGATCGGCAAAAACTGAGTCCTGGAGCAACCCTTTCGCACGAAATGAGGGTCGATCGGCAAAGTGTAAAAGCGTCTGTGTGTAAAAGCGTCTGTGTGTAAAAGCGTCTCTGTGTGTAAAAGTGGCTGTGTGTAAAAGCGTCTCTGTGTGTAAAAGTGGCTGTGTGTAAAAGCGTCTGTGTGTCAAAGCGTCTGTGTGTCAAAGCGTCTGTGTGTCAAAGCGTCTGTGTGTAAAAGTGTTTGTGTAAAAGCGTTTGTGTGTAAAAGCCTCTGTGTGTAAATGTGTTTGTGTGTCAAAGCGTCTGTGTGTAAAAATCGTTTGTGTGTAAAAAGCGTCTGTGTGTAAAAGCGTCTGTGTGTAAATGTGTTTGTGTGTCAAAGCGTCTGTGTGTAAAAAGCGTCTGTGTGTCAAAAGCGTCTGTGTGTAAAAGTGTCTGTGTGTAAAAGGGTCTGTGTGTAAAAGCGTCTGTGTGTCAAAGCGTTTGTGTGTAAAAGCGTCTGTGTGTAAAAGTGTTTGTATGTAAAAGCTTCTGTGTGTAAAAGCCTCTGTATGTAAAAGCTTCTGTGTGTAAAAGCTTCTGTGGGTAAAAGCTTTGTGTGTAAAAGCGTCAGTGTAAAAGCGTCTGTTTGTAAAAGTGTTTGCGATGCAAACTATTGTCTTGCACTTCCCACTATCCTGTCTTGATACTCCTCTTCTCGACTGCCTATGACAGAGCTTTCATATATCGTTTCTAATATTGCGTCTCCATACTAACAAGAGAAGACCCTGCTCCCCCCTGAACTGTCCGAGCAAACATGACTGTAAGCATTTCCAGAGCTTCTTTTGGTGGCCGTGGTGCTCGTCTTTAGTGTATCGGCGTGGGTCAAGCAGAACGGTCTGAGACTCCATAGAAGAGCAATAAAGCTGCCGATTCCTTTTGCGCATATAGTTGTGCCGGGACATCGCTGAATGTGATCTGTCACAGTCATTAGTCATAGTCCTTGAATGCTTTGCGGGTCCGCATTGTTGGTCTGTGCAGCTAGGTTTGCATCGAGTCAGGGCCCCGGGATGGGATGGATTACCTGGATAAGCTGCTACCACAAAGAAACAAATCGATATATTTTATATTGAGATAGAGATAGAGATATGATATAAAGATGGATGTATGACTTTTAATATATAGAGATGGATGTATGAGTGTTAAGATAAGAGTTTCCATTCCAGTCACAGTCAGGAGTCAGGACCCTAAACCCATAAAGAACCAACTTCTATCATATTGTAATACTGTGCGTGTCCCAGCCCAGAAACGGTCGCTGCCTGCCAGGTCCGCCCGTTTATACTTTTTTTTTTCAGGAGATGGCAAACCACCTTGGTTGGGGGGCCCCAAAGCACATAGCCCGCATGACATGTTTATACATGCTGGTTTCGAGGCACATGGAAATAGGACTTCACCACACCACCCCGTCGGATTGCTGAGGTCGCCACGACAACGATGACTTCGCTGTGACTACTTGGGCCGGCCTCTGTGTAAAAGCGTCTGTGTGTACAAGTGATTGTGTGTAAAAGCGCTTGTGTGTCAAGCCGTCTGTGTGTAAAAGCGTCTGTGTGTCAAAGTGTTTCTGCGTAAAAGTGTTTGTGTGTAAAAGCTTCTGTGTGTACAAGCGTCTGCGTGTAAAAGCGTCTGTGTGTAAAAGTGTTTGTGTGTAAAAGTGTTTGTGTGTAAAAGTGTTTGTGTGTAAAAGTGCCTGTGTGTAAAGCGTCTATGTGTAAAAGCTTCTGTGTGTCAAAGCGTTTGTGTGTAAAAGCAGCTCCTGTCTGTAAAAAGGTCTGTGTGTAAAAGTGTCTGTGTGTAAACATGTCTGTGTGTAAAAGTGTCCGTGTAAAAGCGTCTGTGTGTAAAAACATCTGTGTGTAAAAGCGTCTGTATGTAAAAGCTTCTGTGGGTAACAGCTTTGTGTGTAATAGCCTCTGTGTAAAAGCTTCTGTGTGTAAAAGCTTCTGTGTGTAAAAACTTTTGTGTGTAAAAGCGTCTGTGTGTAAAAGTGTTTGCGATGCAAACTATTGTCTTGCACTTCTCACTATTTTGTCTTGCTACTTCTCTTCTCGACTGCCTATAACACATCTTTCATATATTGTTTGTAAAATTGTGTCTCCATACTAACAAGAGAAGACCCTGCTCCTCTACGCTCTCGGGCCATCCGTCGTCTAGTTTGGGGTCTAACAGTATAAAAATAAGACAACCCAATGCACCCCCCCAGCCAAATGTGTGGCTTTGGGTGGGCAAATCTTAACCACCCACAGCCACGTTCAATCCCCATGAGGTACGAGCTGATGCAGATGCCTATTGAAAGGAGGCATTGCCAATATCATTTGCACGTGGGCAAAAGATGGCAAGAGTGGTGAGGGTGGCATTGTAAAAATTAAATTGCCGTGTTTTCTTGTAATCCCTTCTCCTTCCAACAGTAATCTATATATCATAATTTTGGGGTGGCCCCCCTAGTTGATCAACAGTTTTTTTTCCTCCTCCGGTGGTGACATTATTGAAGCTGGTCCCCACCAGTTTCTGTCGGGGATCTTTTGCGTCCTTGTTCCCCACCTCATCTCATGTCTTCCTGAACAAGTCAGTTGGGAATTCAGCCCAAGTAAGCCCTTCTCCTTTCCCATAGGTTCGGGGAAACGTTGGTTTAGCACGGGATCTGTTTATTTTGGGGTCCCATATAGGGAACCTTACAATTTTAGGGTGATGGGTTTGGTGATTTGTGGAGCGGTGTCACAAAGAGGGGTATACCAAATTAAATGTATCCTTAAATAGCTCTAATATGTCAAATGATGACCCCCCAATCGCGAATTGCTTATTTTGATTATCCCGCACTCATCACATCATCATCCTACAATTTCCACGATGTTTCCCTATGCTTTCCTATGTCATTGGGCTTATTTTTCTGGGCTTATTATTGCGCCTTTGGTCAAGTCGTCCCATGCGGAACTTTTACCGTGCTCAATGGGTCCTCCAACTGAACTGAGGTACCTTCACTGTCTTTGGGATATATTTACATGTATATTTAGCCCAGGGATGTATATTTCACATATCCCTGGGATGTATATACAAAGAAAACCAACTTTGTATACTATCTTTACTGGCTATTTAATTTTGCATATTTGATTGTTTACATGTATATTTAGAAACCCAATTCATCCCATTTTGAAGTTGCTCTTCTTTTTGTTTTTTTGGTTTCCTATTAGCCAGTCACTATCTACGCTGGTTTCTCGCACCTTCAGGCGGCACATCTACCTGGCTCGGCGCTCCGCTGCGCAATACCAAGCCTTCGATGCCTTTACCCGCACCGTGGGGCAGCTCTGCAGTGGATCTGGGGTAGCAGGTGGGTACAAGAAAAGCATACAAAAACATTGGCCAAGGACCTTGGAAGTCAGCTTAGAACTCTGCGAATTATGCAATTGACAAGGGTTACGAGTTACGAGATGGGGATATTGACCGTGATCATCGCTGGTCATTGCGCGTCATTTGGCTCTGTCTTTGCAGAAGTTCCGAGCAAACAACTGCAGGAAACAAGCCACACTGTCCAGCACCTTCCAACACCTTCCCACACCTTCCAGCTACCACAAAGGTTGAAACCAATTTAAAGAAAGAAACAACCACGCGACAATGATTGTCTACAATTGAGTGTTTTGCATTGTTTTAGTACCTCCTAACTCCGACCAAAAACAATCTTTCCCCCCTAGTTTAGTAATAGTAATAGTGTCTCTAGAATACTGTTTACAACATCTTGTATGCCACTTTCTCTGGCTCCAATTTTCTCGGTGCCAAAAACGGCCTCCGCCATGACGTCCTTCGATGACTTGGACCGCGAGATGGAACGGCTGAAAGCGATGTCTGGCGGAGGCTCCAGTTTGGAGCCAGTGCTGTGACTTCGATCGCAGCGAGCTGGGCCAAATGGCGGAGGTTTCCCACAGGGGAATCAACGAATATGGGGATATCATGGGACATTCTTGGAATATATATATATAATTTGCATATACACATTTAATATGACACACACACAGAGAGAGTGTGATATATCAACCAACCGATTGATACACAGTGTTTGTCTGAAAATGGGAGATGTGGCCATTTTCATAGGCAAACTCATGATAAATCAGCGGATTTTTTTTTGGTACCATATGTTCAGACAAAGCTATTCTTTCTGTTGCTTTATCATGCGGGTTTCAACCAAACATAGGGGTATCATAGGGGTAGAATGGGGAGTTAATGGGAGATACGACTGTCTACTTGAAAATTGGTATATAGTATATCAGTATACCACCAATTTATGACAGTTTTAAGAGGTAAAATTATGATGATACACCATCACATGTTGGGGTACCCTATTTTTCAGACGAACCCATTTGTTGCAGGTTGATAATTAGCAAATGGGTCATAATGATTAATTCATAATGGGTACCATGTGCCACCCAATATTATCCTATATTTCAAGCTGCACGCACAATATAAATATACGCGAACACACATAAAAAAGAATCATATAGACATACGGGCATTTGTATCAAAGATCTTCGTGCTGATTGTCTTTCACGAGGTGCCATTTGTCAGAAGATTTGACTCCCAAAGTGCCATTTGTCTGAAGACTATATTTGAATTACTTGTCACGGCGAACTCTTTTCATTGCTAAAAAGCGCCGCAGAAAGAAACTAGGCCACCTGGGCGCGTTGATGTTCGCCAGGCGTCGTGGCGAAGGATAGGACAATTTGCAGGAACCCCACCAGATGTCATGGGAAAAACTCCCAATGACATCCACGGCAGGTGGTGCCTGCCAAGTTATAAGATGTTATTTGTTGGTTGATGACCCTCATGAACTTCGATATATCTACCATAAACATTCAGACGCAGTAACTTTTTGGAGTTATAAACTATTATGAACTCACCACCTGAGCTTTTTGTGTTCCCTGGGGCCCAACTGTTGTTCTGTTCAGCAGCTAGTCTTCACTTGATGCAGCAAGTCACCAAGGCGTGGATTTCATGATGCCAACTTCCAAGCCTGTGTCCAGCCCCTTGCTCCAGCTGATTAGATGTGTCTATATGAAGGTTTCTACAGATACGATAAGTACATGCACATAGTGTATACCTGTATGACATCATCAGGAGTTTGATGAGGGATTGTATACTATACTGCTTTTGGTGATTGACAATCTTCGAGCTCATTTTGGGGATAAAGCACCCGTGAGCGGAGGACTTCCTTGATTCGGTTAGAAGTTTGTAGGTGAAATCCGCTTGCTTTGCTGATGAACCCCTTGTTTTCATACGTTTCGGAATGATCCTCCTCGTTGACCCTATATCGTTGATGATATCCCCAATAAATCTATCCCTGAGGTCAAATCAAACCCATCAAATATCTCATGGGTGTCCATTTCATTACCCCTAAATATTGTTGTTGATATAATCTGATACCCCCATATCATCACAATACAGTTGGTTAAACAAAACCCATCAATCCCAGAATTGGAGGCTGGTAAAAACCATGTTTTCCGGTTTTGATTTTCCCTGAAACCAATCCATGGAATATCCCTATTGTGGACTATCCCAAGTATATCCCTATGATACCCCAATTATACACATACATACATACATACAGACAGACCAGACCAGACCATACCAGACCATACCAGACCATACCAGAACATACTAGAACATACCAGAACATACCAGAACATACCAGAACATACCAGAACATACCAGAACATACCAGAACATACCAGAACATACCAGAACATACCAGAACATACCAACATACCAACATACCAACATACCAGCATACCAGCATACCAACATACCAACATACCAACATACCAACATACCAACATACCAACATACCAACATACATCCATCCATCCATATATCCATCCATATATCCATCCATACATCCATACATCCATCCATACATCCATGCATGCATGCATGCATGCACACATGCACACATGCACACATGGCACACATGCCACACATGCACACATGCACACATGCACACATGGCACACATGCCACACATGCACACATGCACACATGCACACATGGCACACATGGCACACATGGCACACATGCACACATGCACACATGCACACATGGAACACATGGAACACATGGCACACATGCACACACACATGGCACACATGGCACACATGGCACACATGCACACATGCACACATGCACACATGCACATACACACACATACGCACACACACACACATATATACATGCATGCATGCATGCATGCATGCATACATGGCACACATACATGTATGCATGCATGCATGTATGTATGCATGCATGCATGCATGCATGCATACATACATGCATGCATGCATGCATACATGCATGCATGCATGCATACATACAAACATGCATGCATGCATACATACATGCATGCATACATACATACATACATAATACATACATGCATGCATGCATGTATGTATGCATGCATGCATACATGCATGCATGCATACATACATGCATGCATGCATACATGCATGCATACATACATGCATGCATGCATACATACGTACATGCATGCATGCATGCATGCATGCATACATACATACATACATATGTATATATAATGTCCCTTTCTCAGTTTATGTCGCAATAGCATCCCTTTATTGTTGCTTGGTTCCCCCATGTCTTTCAAAGGATTTATCCCTGGGCGAGGCAATTCGCTGCCGAGAGGGCGTCGGCCTTCCAGGCCACATGTCCCGATGGCTCGCAGCCCTTGATTTGGACGGAGCCGCCGGGCGGCATCATGTGGCGGGTTATGATCTACTGGGTATGGTCATCTTAATATGGTGAATGTGGGTAAAACAATTTCATAGACCATCCCCCAGTCATCACCATTTTTATAGGTGGTTTAAACCATTTCCAGCCATGGGTGGTAAACATTTAAAAAAAAACATGGCGTTGTGTTACCCACATTAATATGGGTATGGTTTGCTGGCTATATCATCTGGGTATGGTTAGACTTGGCTCTGCGGCAAGTCTGACAATTGCTGATGGAACATTTTTGGGGGACTGAACATGACATTTGTTGATGGCAAAACATCAAAAATACATGCTGGATCCGGATTCCCCTGGACCCATGATGCGCATGTGAATTTTTTTCCGCGTTGAATCACGTTGCATCAAAATACCCTTGGGGAATCAACGCTGGCAATGGGAAATCCCCAATGGAGGTTTTATATAAGTGGAAAATCATCTAATTATGTCTATAATATCCTGTAAGATTCCATAATTATGTATGCTATCAATTGGCAATTTTCCATTGCCGCGTTTGATGACCGGATGGTATTTGTTTGGATTTTCGGATCCGTCCTAATTGGGATTGGCTTTTATTCCCACGTGAGGTATCACAAGGAGTACCGAGAGATGTTCGAGAGCCACCTCCAGACCATCTTGCACGCACTGGACATGACTGAATCTGGGTGTCGGGAAAACACCCACCATTTGTAGATCATTATCCAAGGGGAATCAACCAAACATCATCTATGTTGGAAAAGGGAAAATCCATGGGAAAATCCCTCTGTTCAGTGGGAACATCTCCATTGTCAATGGGAAATCCCGAAAATTCGATTCAATTAATATAGGAGTTATTAATATAGGATATTCACAGGACTTTCCCTTCGCCAAGTTCGATTGCCAGATTCTCAGGTTCTCAGGTCAGTTACTCAACATTGAATCACTTTTCATGGTTTTCTTATCGGCGAACATGGAGTTCAGCATAGCTCAACATTTTTTCAAGGGGGTTTTTCGAGATGGAGCTGAAGGACCGAAGGAATCCGAAGGACGGGGGAAAAAAGACGGTGGGATCTTTTTCTTGAAATGGGTATGGGTCAATACCTATATAGCCTATAGATACCTATTTTTAGGGGGATGAACATCCATAAATCCCAGCTATTTTGGGGTTCACTAGGTACCAGGGTTTTGACCCATCCCCAAATTTGTTCCAATTTGTTCTCCTTGGAGATCCTTGGAGTGTGATGTGGCCATATGTATATGGTATAATCATCTTCCCATCGATTCATATTTTTCAGAGGGGTAGGCTCAACCAACCAGCACATCTTTGAAGCATTTGGCTCATCCGAGGAAGACAGTTTTCATGAGCTCTGTGGCTATATTCAGGACCTGTTTCGGAGTGTGTAAGAGGTGGGGAAAGGAATGGAAAGCATGAAGTGAATGATTTGTTTGGTATGAAACTCCAGGTGGGAGTTCCCAATGATCATCCCCAGTTGGGCTTTGTTTTGCGGTGATTATCCCATGATTTCCTGTGTTTTCCCACGGTTAGCTTGGATGTGCATCCCAGATAGTATTTGGTTTACAACCTATAACCCACATGCAACTGGGGGTAAAATATGGTTATTACCCACGGACCCCAACTGGGAAGCACCCCTAAGTGCATCAACACGTTGGCATACCTATCATCACTACGATGGCGTCGCGCAAGGAGATAGAAGAAAATCTGGGGGACGACTCTGAGAACTTGTATGGCTACATCAAGGCTAGGTTAAAGTTTGGTTTAATGGGCTTTACTTTTTTTTCAAAAAAATAGATACATCATGAATCATAAACCATAAAAATATGATATGTAAATGGCATGGGGGTATGAATGCGGACATGAATGGGGATATGGTTAATAGTTAATGGGATATGCATAGCCAAGTTGATATGATATTAGGATTTGTCTGGAAATTTAAAATACAGGACGCATGATGATAAACAATGATAAACCATCAAGTTTTGGGCATTATATTTTCAGACAAGCCCATGTGTGGATCACAGGCGCTGACAAAGGCTTGAATAAATTTGAAGGTTTGAGCGGGAATTGCCGTTCATAGTTCATACGGAAAGGTAATATGTCATTGAACAACTAGAAAGACAAAACCGTCACGTGTCCATTCGGTTTCAGTGGTTTGATTCCAGCCATCATCATGGCAGTCCACAGGCAATCACAAGCTCAGAGGAGTACGACAGTTTTCTGCAGCTCATGTTTGGAGAGGCAGGGGGCTGACTCTGGGACCGGACGGTTTTTTCCCGAAAGCGCCTGCGAAGGGTTCTTCGTAAAAAAGCAGCCGTTGTAGTACATCTTCACACACTCACATCTGCTGATCTAGATCTTCACACCTTCACATCTGCTGATCTACATCTTCACAGCTTCGCATCTCCTGATCTACATCTTCACACCCTCACATCTGCAGATCTAGATTCTAGATCTTCACACCTTCACATCTGCTGATCTACACCTTCGCACCTTCACATCTGCTGATCTACATCTTCACACCCTCACATCTGCTGATCTACATCTTCACACCATCACATCTGCAGATCTACATCTTCACACCCTCACATCTGCAGATCTACATCTTCACACCCTCGCATCTGCTGATCTACATCTTCACACCCTCACATCTGCTGATCTACATCTTCACACCTTCACATCTGCTGATCTACATCTTCACACCTTCACATCTGCTGATCTACATCTTCACACCTTCACATCTTCTGCTGATCTACATCTTCACACCTTCACATCTGCTGATCTACATCTTCACACCTTCACATCTGCTGATCTACATCTTCACACCTTCACGCCTGCAGATCTACATCTTCACACCCTCACATCTGCAGATCTAGATTCTAGATCTTCACACCCTCACATCTGCTGATCTACATCTTCACACCCTCACACCTGCAGATCTACATCTTCACAGCCTCACATCTGCAGATCTACATCTTCACACCTTCACATCTGCAGATCTCCTCTCGCTCCTTTTTCTATCTCTCTCTTAAGGCGGGGGCGGTGCCGCCGAAGCACCACGAAACGCAACTGTTTCGCACGAAATGGACGTTGGACGTCAAAAACGGAGGTAAAATTGAGATTTTGAAGTATCCATCGCAACCCTTTCACACGAAATGGACGTTGGACGTCAAAAACTGCGGTAAAATTGCGATTTTAGTTAGTACGTCGCAACCCTTTCGCACGAAATGGACGTTGGACGTCAAAAACTGAGGTAAAATTGCGATTTTAGTTAATACGTCGCAACCCTTTCGCACGAAATGGACGTTGGACGTCAAAAACTGCGGGAAAATTGCGATTTTGAAGTATCCATCGCAATCCTTTCGCACGAAATGGACGTTGGACGTCAAAAACTGAAGTAAAATTGCGATTTCACGGGTCCGGTCTCTGTGTGTGAAAGTGTTTGTGTGTAAAAGCTTCTGTTTGTGAAAGTGTTTGTGTGTAAAAGCTTCTGTGTGTAAAAGTTTCTGTGTGTAAAAGGGTCTGTGTGTAAAAGGGTCTGTATGTAAAAGCGTCTGTGTGTAAAAGCGTCTGTGTGTAAAGGAGTCTGCGTGTAAAAGCCTTTGTGTGTAAAAGCTTCTGTGCGTAAAAGCTTCTGTGTGTAAAAGCTTCTGTGTGTAAAAGGGTCTGTGTGTAAAAGCGTCTGTATGTAAAAGCGTCTGTGTGTAAAATGGTCTGTGTGTAAAGGTGTCTGTGTGTAAAAGCGTCTGTGTGTAAAATGGTCTGTGTGTAAAAGTGTGTGTGTAAAAGCTTCTGTGTGTAAAAGCTTCTGTGTTTAAAAGCTTCTGTGTGTAAAAGTATCTGTGTGTAAAAGCGTCTGTGTGTAAAATCTTCTGTGTGTAAAATGGTCTGTGTGTAAAAGCGTCTGTGTGTAAAAGGGTCTGTGTGTAAAAGCTTCTGTGTGTAAAAGCTTCTGTGTGTAAAAGCGTCTCTGTGTAAAAGGGTCTGTGTGTAAAAGGGTCTGTATGTAAAAGCGTCTGTGTGTAAAATGGTCTGTGTGTAAAAGTGTCTGTGTGTAAAAAGTGTCTGTGTGTAAAGGAGTGTGTGTAAAAGCGTCTGTGTGTAAAAGCGTCTGTGTGTAAAAGCGTCTGTGTGTAAAAGCGTCTGTGTGCAAAAGCGTCTGTGTGTAAAAGTGTTTGTGTGCAAAAGCATCTGCGTGTAAAAGCGTCTGTGTGTAAAAGTGTCTGTGTGTAAAATGGATTGGGTGTCAAAGTGTCTGTGTGTAAAAGCGTCTGTGTGTAAAGGAGTCTGTGTGTAAAAGCGTCTGTGTGTAAAAGCGTCTGTGTGCAAAAGCGTCTGTGTGTAAAAGTCTGCGATTGAGACATGCAATGGTTGGATTGAAAATTGATTTCTGTTTTCTGTGTGAAGGGTTTGACTATCCTTAGTGAGCTCGCGGATGAGAATTCTGTGGTCTCTCTTGTCGCTCGCCCTTCCAGTGTTGGTAAACAAATGCTGGCTGAATTCTGGCTTCCCAAGCTTGACGCGAAGTTGGCAGCTCCAGCGTTGGCTCGACTGGACTTGCATTGTTTCCAGATGATTCTGGCCTGGGTCTCACTTTGCGCGTGGTACAAGGTATGCAGAGTGGATAGACAGTGGAGCCGCTGGCTTCGTGCAAGCCGGACCTTTCAATCTGTGGTGTCGGATGCGCGTTGGGCCAAGGATCCCGAGTTGCTGTCCATCCAACGGGAAGTGCGAGCCAATGAAGACTGATCTTTTAAACACTGAATTTTGACGTGCTGGATCCTGCAGGGACTGTCCGTGCATCGAGCGAAATGTAGTGAAAAAGGTGTCATCCATGCCATCATGATATTCATTTGTTTGTGCACTTTTGTTATCTTTTGTTTACATTTTCACTGTAAAGTCGTGCAACTAAGGTCACCCACGGCATCATGGTACCGAGCTTAGTTGGTAAATTCTGTGAGAATTTCCATATGAAAATGAGTATATAAACATGTGAGATCCTCGACATCATGGTATGGAGCTTTTTTTTGGGTGTTTTTGTTTTGATGTTCATATACAAAATCAGAACAGACTCGTGTATCAATATTGCAGGAGCTATTTTGTGTCTGTATGGCAGGTTTTGTCACGCATGCCGTGGAGGAGCGCTGGGAATGGCAGTGGTTCTACAGCATCATGCCACCGAGTTTCGGCTTGCAACTCAGTGTCCCACTTGGAAGTAAGTAAGCAGCTGGACCTTAGCGCGCCTGCGGTTGAAGGCATCGTTGCGTGCTGTACCTGTAGATTGAAACAATGACTTGTAGATTGTAGTTGTGCACCTGCACTTCGTTGCCACGGGAGGTATTTTTGTCCTTGCATTGCGCTTGCATTGTTGTCGTTCGCATGGTTCAGAATGTACGCTCGAATCTGTTATATAAATGGCTTGCATCGTGTTCAAGCTTGTATGAAAACAGCCTTTCGCATAGTTTCATACTTCCAACTTTGTATTTGTGTAGGGACCGTCTGTTAGATCACAGTTGCCGCCATGACCACCAGCGCTCGCGAGTGGAGAGTGGCGCGAGGAGGGCTTACGCCGACAAAGCATGTTGGAATGACCCGTGATCTGCAAACCTACGGATCGAGCGTCGGTGTTGCTTGGAAGCATCAAAGCGGCGTGTAGCTTGGAAGACATTTTCAAGACTCTGTCGGTGAAGGTCACCGTGGTGGTGACCATGTGCGCAAATGAAATGGAGATTCGAGGCACCCCGAAGGTAGCTTCTTGTTTGGGACAGTGGAAAATTGTTTGTGGCCAACTCTGGAAACAATCCATGCTGGCAGTGACCAGGGGCGAATCCATGCACGTGCTCTTCCATTGCTTTGGAGGCATCAATAGAAGCGCTGGGGCTTTATGTGCTTGGCTCGTCGTGGGTTACAACTACTCTGCAGAGGATGCCGTCCAGTTGCTGCTTGAGAAAAGACCTTCCTTGCGCCCTTGGCACAATCGCCCCTATGTCTTGGAGGCTTTGTGGAAGCTAGAAGGTTTGCGTACCGAGTGGCACATGGAACTGAGTGCGGCGGACGGAAATCAATTTGCACCACTGTTCGTCTGGAGAAACTGTTCGTGGCGAACCTGCAAAATCAGTAGCCAACTGCTGTCTGTTTGTACAGTTGAAAAGTGTTGATCTACATGTTTTTGTGTGATCCAACTCGATGACAGACGATCTCATCTTGGTACGAGTGAACAACTATACGCATGATCGTGCAATCTGAAATTTCCGAGGTGGCTCTTGCGCCAGTTTGGTACCGGCCTGGGTTTTTGATGTTTTTTTTTTGGTCTTGAAGTAAATCAAATTACTGGAATGTGTCCAGCGCTGTGCTGTGCACTAAGGTTGGCACTTCTGAGCCACGACGTTTCACTGCGATTTCAAAGCGTCATTTCGTGTTGGTATGTGTTGTAAAAGCGTCGGCCTGTAAAAGCGCCTGTGTGTAACGGGTTTTGTCTATAAGAGCGTCTGTGTGTACAAGAGTCTGTGTGTAAAAGCATCTGTGTGGAAAAGCGTCTTGGTGTAAAAGCTTCTGCGTGTAAATGTGCCTGTGTGCAAAAGTGTCTGTGTGTAAAGACGTCTGTATGTAAAAGTGTCTCTGTGTAAAAGTTCCTGTGTGTAAAAGTGTCCGTGTGTAAAAGCGTCTGCGTGTAAAAGTTTCGGTGTGTGTAAAAGCGTCTGTGTGTAAAAGTGTCTGTGTGTAAAAGCTCCTGTGTGTAAAAGCTTCTGTGTGTAAAAGTTTCTGTGTGTGTAAAAGCGTCTGTGTGTAAAAGTGTCTGTGTGTAAAAGCTCCTGTGTGTAAAAGCTTCTGTGTGTAAAAGCGTCTCTGTATAAACGCGTCGCGTTTCTTCACATCCACGGAATGATGGTGCCGAGCTTTTTCGGCAATGTGTGTAGGAATTGCCATAGTAAAATGAGATAACACATGTCGTTCGCAGCATCATGGTACCGAGCCTCCTGTGCATTTTTGTTTCTCACATTATATTTCTCCATGTTTTCTTTCTACCCCCCTTTCCTTCTCTCTCTCTCTCTCCTCCCTCTTTCCCTCTGTGGTTGCAAGACACGTGTCATCTGATGCCCTTTACCAAGTATCCTCTTCTTAATCAATCTTACTTTTTCACACCATATCCTTCCATAGCTCATAAAAAATTCACCAACCATTCACCGACTATCTTTTACGACTACCATCCTCAGAGCTGCTTGAAAAACATCTGTTTCGCTCTCGGGCCAACCGTCGTCTAGTTTTGGGACCTTGAGCCCTGCAAATTTAGAATTGGCGCCGGAGACAAGATGCACCAGGTTCAAAGACAACAGCAGGAAGCAGGAGAATCTTGGTGAGATACGCCCCGATGGGAGTAACAACTACCGGGAACTGGGTCAACAGTGAACTACTTAAGCAATGACTGGGGGTTCAACCTAAATGGATCCACATGGTAAGTTTGATGATGTCTATACTTGTAACTTATCATCATCAGTTATCAGTAATTTTTTGTGGTTTCTTAATTCTTCCTATGGTCGTTCTAATTTAATATACGCGTGTACGTACAGGTATATACTTATACAGTATATCTTGATCTGATTGTGCAGACATACAGACATACAGGCATACAGACATACAGGCAGAAACACACACACAGACATCCATCTATCTATCAATCAATCAGTCAACCAAGCAGTCTATTAATCAGTCTATCAATCAGTCTATCAATCAGTCTACCAATCAGTCTATCTATCAGTCTATCTATCAGTCTATCTATCAGTCTATCTATCAGTCTATCTATCAGTCTATCTATCAGTCTATCTATCAGTTTATCTATCAGTCTGTCTATCAGTCTGTCTATCTATCAGTCTGCCTATCAGTCTGTCTATCTCCATCTATCTCTATCTATCTCTACCTATCTCTATCTATCTCTATCTATCTCTATCTATCTCTATCTATCTCTATCTATCTCTATCTATCTCTATCTATCTCTATCTATCTCTATCTAATCTATCTATCTCTATCTAATCTATCTAATCTAATCTAATCTATCTAATCTACCTAATCTATCTACTCTATCTAATCTATCTATTCTATCTAATCTATCTAATCAATCTAATCAATCTAATCTATCTATCTAATCTAATCTAACCTAACCTAATCTAACCTAACCTAACCTAATCTAATCTAATCTAATCTAATCTATCTATTCTATCTAATCTATCTAATCCATCTATCTATCTATCTATCTAATCTATCTAATCAATCTATCTATCTAATCTAATCTAACCTAACCTAATCTAACCTAACCTAATCTAATCGAATCTAATCAAATCTAACCTAATCTATCTATCTATCTAATCTAATCTAACCTAATCTAATCTAATCTTATCTTATCTTATCTTTTCTTATCTTATCTATCTATCTATCGATCTATCTATCTATCTAATCTAACCTAATCTAATCTATCTAATCTAATCTAACCTAATCTAATCTAATCTGATCTGATCTGATCTGGTCTAATCTATCTAATCTATCTAATCTATCTAATCTATCTAATCTATCTAATCTCTCTAATCCATCTAATCTATCTAATCTATCTAAACTATCTAATCTATCTAATCTATCTAGTCTATCTAATCTATCTAATCTATCTAATCTATCTAATCTATCTAATCTATCTAATCTATCTAATCTATCTAATCTACCTAATCTATCTAATCTATCTAATCTATCTAATCTATCTAGTCTATCTAATCTATCTAATCTATCTAATTTATCTAATCTCTCTAATCTCTCTAATCCATCTAATCTACCTAATCTATCTAAACTATCTAATCTATCTAATCTATCTAGTCTATCTAATCTATCTAATCTATCTAATCTATCTAATCTATCTAATCTATCTAGTCTATCTAATCTATCTAATCTATCTAATCTATCTAATCTATCTAATCTATCTAATCTATCTAATCTATCTAATCTATCTAGTCTATCTAATCTATCTAATCAATCTAATCAATCTAATCAATCTAATCAATCTAATCAATCTAATCAATCTAATCAATCTAATCAATCTAATCTATCTATCCTTTCTAACCTAATCTAATCTATCTATCTATCTCTTTCTATCTATCTATCTATCTGTCTGTCTGTCTATCTATCTATCTATCTCTTTCTTTCTCTCTCTCTCTCTCTATCTATTTCTCTATCTATCTATCTGTCTATCTATTTCTCTATCTATCTATCTGTCTATCTATTTCTCTATCTATCTATCTGTCTATCTATCTCTCTATCTATCTCTCTATCTATCTCTCTATCTTTCTCTCTATCTATCTCTCTATCTATCTCTCTATCTCTCTCTGTATCTCTCTATCTATCTAATCTATCTAGATAAATGTAGAGCTTCGCACACCGGCGATGCCTGTAGGGGTCGGGGGAGGGAAAGAGAGAAGGGGATTTCATGTGAACTTGCGGACATGACATGCTGCGAGCTGCATCTTGTTGCAGAGCTGGCATTTGCTTCTGGTCCTCGTTCTCGTTCTCGTTCTTGTTCTTGTTCGTGTTGTCGTTGTCGTTGTCGTTGTCCTTGTTGTCGTCGTTGTCGTCGTTGTCGTTGTTGTCGTCGTCTTCGTCGTCTTCGTCGTCGTCGTCGGCGGCGGCGGCGTCGTCGTCGTCGTCGTGGTTGTTGTTGTTGTTGTTGTTGTTGTTGTTGTTGTGATAGCTGTTGCTGCTTGGTCCTGTTGTCGTTGTCGTTGTTTTTTTCCCTTGCCTTTGCGGTTCTGACTTGGCCAATGACTATTTGTGCATTCAAATGGTCAGAGTCTTGCTGCTGGAGGCTTGAAACTTTGGAATCCAAAGTTGTCTGAACGGTGGGACGTGTTTGCTGGCATGCTTGTAGTTTATGGCATTTTATTGCCAACAAAATCTGGAACATTCAGGAACTTTGTGGTAAACAGACGAGCTTGGACACTGTCACTTGTTTAAAGTCGATCGACCTCTGCAGCCGTTTGATCAGTCACTGCCGATCAACGCACTCATGCAAACGCAAAAACACACACAAACACACACACACATACACACTCGCGTTGGTTCTTTCGGGTAGAATTATGGGATTTTCATGGAGTTTCATCTTGTGTAGCAGTGTAGCGAGCCAACAATGGAGAGGGGAATGCTTAGAATGTTGGTGTTTCAAAGCTACCACCTCTAAGCTACCACTTTTCCCACTTGGTTTGCGCCATGTCGAGCTTTGGAGATAGGACAATTTGACACAGGTAGTTCGGGGGAGTTGCTCTACGGCAAAGATGGTTCCAGAACAGATGGCTCTTGAGGTCCAATCACTCTACGGTCCGAATTTCAACCAAAATAATCAGGCACTTGTGGCCAGCATAGTTGTTACAAAGTTGAGTTTCAAATAGATCATCATTTCCCATCGTGGCTGGTTGTAGCTTCGCCGATCTTTGCCCAGCTTTTGTTCGGTCAAAGTCCATTGATTCTGAGTTTTGGACAGTGCCGAGAAATCTTCACAGCAGACCGATGAACATTCGAACAAACATCGCTTGATTGGTCAAGGGTCCAAGTGTGCCCAATCATAGAAGTGATCGAGTGCCTGAGGCACTTCAGGAACAACGGGGATATGCCTTCCGAATCCTTCTTCAATGGCCAAGTCTGATCAAACCGGCAACCAAATGAAAAGCTCACTGAACTTAATGTGGAGGACATTTCCTTCTATTCTCGGATGCTTCAGAACGGCAAAGAAGCAGAGAACCAGGGAAGTAAGTAGAGTGTTGAAGAGACCGTGAGAGGTGTGAATGTCACTTCTGTTGGCCAGACTGGCAAGAAACTAGAGTCCTTTCTCACTGAAGTGACACGAGCAAGTCCGGTGAGACTACGCCAACACCTTCTGGAAAAGCCTTGGCATCTCAATCACGAGCTTTAATTGCTGTTGGCTGCCACAACACGTTGCTTGCAGCATTCACTGCTTGCAGCCCGGTTTTCCGTTCCAGATAGAAACGATTGGTTTGTTGACACTGGAGGAACCCAATGTGTGTAGGATTGTATATGGGAACACTGGCTGTGCCCGTTCCTCACCTACAATCTTGACTTGACAGTCACTGAATGTCACTTCTGTTGGCCAGTCTGGCAAGAAACTAGAGTCGTTTCTCACTGAAGTGACACGAACGCGTCCAGTGAGACTACGCCAACACCTTCTGGAAAAGCCTTGAGATCTAAATCACGAGCTTTAATTGCTATTGGCTATAACACGTGTGTGCAGCATTCACTGCTTGCAGCGCGGCTTTCAGTTCCACAAAGAGTCGATTGGTTTGCTGACACTGGAGGAATCCAATGTGTGTATAGGATTCTATATGGGAACACTTGCTGTGCCTGTCTGTTCCTCACCTACAATCTTGACTTGACAGTCACTGAATGTCACTTCTGTTGGCCAGACTGGCAAGAAACTAGAGTCGTTTCTCACTGAAGTGACACGAACGCGTCCAGTGAGACCACACCAACAGCCCCTTCAAAAGCCTTGAGATCTCAACCGCGAGCTTTAATTGCTATCGGCTGCTGTAACATGTGTGTGCAGCATTCACTGCTTGCAGCGCGGCTTTCAGTTCCACATAGAGTCGATTGGTTTGTTGACACTGGAGGAATTTAATGTGTGTATCGGAACAATCTTGACTCGACAGTCAGTGAATGTCACTTCTGTTGGCCAGACTGGCAAGAAACTAGAGTCCTTTCTCATTGAAGTGACACGCGCAAGTTCGGTGAGACTACGCCAACACCTTCTGGAAAAGCCTTGAGATCTCAACCGCGAGCTTTAATTGCTGTTGGCTACCACAACATGTTGTGTGCAGCATTCACTGCTTGCAGCGCGGCCTTCAGTTCCACATAGAGGAATCCAATGTGTGTATAGGATTCTATATGGGAACACTTGCTGTGCCTGTTCCTCACCTACAATCTTGACTTGACAGTCGCTGAATGTCACTTCTGTTTGCCAGACTGGCAAGAAATTAGAGCCGTTTCTCACTGAAGTGACACGCGCAAGTTCGGTGAGACTACGCCAACACCTTCTGGAAAAGCCTTGGGATCTCAACCGCGAGCTTTAATTGCTGTTGGCTACCACAACATGTTGTGTGCAGCAATTCGCTGCTTGCAGCCCGGTTTTCAGTTCCAGATAGAAACGATTGGTTTGTTGACACTGGAGGAATCCAATGTGTGTGTAGGATTGTATATGGGAACACTTGCTGTGCCTGTTCCCCACCTACAATCTTGACTCGACAGTCAGTGAATGTCACTTCTGTTGGTCAGACTGGCAAGAAACTAGAGTCGTTTCTCACTGA